GCGGGAACTGAACCCTCTGGTCCGCGGGCTGACGCTCTAACCGCTGAGCCAAACCGGCCAGGGCTCTACTGTTGTCTTCTGTGTAAAGCAACGTTAGGACCGAGGCTTGTGGGTGGGATACGGGAGCTGGAGAAAGTAGATCTATAGTCGTCCCGGCCACTGTCACTCTATGGCAGTGTTACTCTCTCGAGGTATATATAATATAGTATCGTATTTGAAAAACCGCCATCGTCCGGCCGGTGTGGCTCAGTGCTTGAGCATCGACCCTGCACTAAGAGGTCACCGGTTCGATTCCCGGTCAGGGCACATGCCCAGGTTGTGGGCCGATCCCCAGTGGGGGGCATGCAGGAGGCGGCCAATCGATGTTCTCTCTCATGGATGTTTCTATTTCTCTCTCCCTCTCACTTTCTCTCTCTCTAAAATCAATAAAAGAAAAAACCGCCCTAGAGTGAAGCCGGGAAAGTCGGAGCTCGGAGCGGCGAGGGACCACTGTGTACAAAGAGAATCCTACTTGGCAGAAACTCATTTATGGCTGCAGAGTCTGGAACTGATTAAGGGCGAGAAACCAGGGCCGACTGTGGAGGGAAAGAGTGAAGGGGGAGGATCCTGGAGACTCCTGGCTGGGTCCTCAGCTTCCTTTCCCTCGTCAGCGGTAGCCTGCTAATGACGCTCTCGCCTCTTCAGGCTTCCGAGGATGAAAGTAAAATATTAGACGTGCAAGTGCTCGAAGTAGCCGAAAGAGCTAGACTTGTCTGTCCTCCGGTTTGCTCAGACCCCTGTTCACACCTTCCTCCCTCTCCCGCCCCAGCTATCCAAACTTCTCTTTCAACTAGCAAGCCAGAGACACTGCGCAGCAGGCCTAGAAGTTCTCCAGCTGTGGCTGTTGCCCAAGGGGCTGGGGAGCTCCCCAAGCCTTGGGGGTCTCTCCTTGCCCTTGACCTGGAGTGTCACTCTCTTGGGAAGAGGGGTGTGGAAGATCGAAGCTGCTTAGTTAATTGCAGTAGGGCGGGAACCTCGGAAACAAAAAAGCAATAAACAGGGAGTAGGCCAGAAAGCTGGCACCAGGAAGGGAGGCCCCGCAGGGCAGAGTTCTCTGTGGCTGAAGTTAGATGTGTTTTGTACTTTTACTAACCTCTTTATTCCTGCCATTGCCCAAACAGCTTACATTATTCCATAAGGTTGTGATAGGGAATGCATTTCCCCCAGAAGGCACTAAGCCTCATAGCCAGCCCCTATTCTTATAAGGAAACCAGCCCCATCTGGCATATGGCTGGTTGGACCAGGGAACCCCAGACGCCTGAAGGAAAAGCTATTCTTTAGGAGCAGCCCCATGGAATCCTCTCTGCTTGGAGAGGTTGAAGCAAAGAAGCTGTAAAAAGGAAACACCACTAGAAGAATAGCAAATTGCTGAATTCTCCAATACCAGAACAGAGGTGTTATTGAATAATATGTAAGAAATTCCAACTATTTAATGTTTCCTGGGTTTATTTTCCTAAGAATGTAAAGAGCCAAACTAAAAGAGACTAAATTCTCTGTGACCCTTAATTTGAATGTAACTGGCTTTTAGTTTTCACTGCCGTCTGTGTTTCCAACTGTGAGGTTCTTGGGGTGCTGTGGAGAACATAATTTCTTGAGGCACCCCCCCATGAGAGGATGAGGTATCATTGGAAGCTTTACTGATGATGTAAAATTAAGGGGTTTCCTTCCAAGGTCCCATCTCCTTCCAAAATGGAAAAAATCCCATTTTGTCTTCAGCAGGACTAGGATTAAAGCCACTGCCCAGAGTCTCCACTCAATACTGAAGCATAGTCCAGTCCAGCATCTAGCTAGTTCAGCTTGTGTTCCCAGCTGCAGTCCTTTTCATGTGGAGTCCACATGGGCTGCTTAAGGCTACATGGCAGGCCAGCATGTGTGGGTGAGTGCAGGTCATGCAGCAAGAGAGTGCAAAGGAGCAGAAGCAAAGAAAGAGAGAGAGAACCCTTTGGGGATTCTAATTAGGAGCTTAACCAACTAACCCTTCAGGATTTTGCATGCCTGCAGTGGCTCTACCCCTCTAGCCAGGTATCTTTGTCCCAGGTTAGGCTGACAGGCAAGCACCTTCCCTACATCACCCCAACTTCACTGTGCATGTGCCTGTTTCCCCTTTGTTGGATCCCTTCCCCCAGTGATTTGCAGGGAAAGGACTGGTGGTTCCCTGTGGAGTATGAAGTTGCAGCTTCCTGGGAAAGCTGCCCAGATGAGTTTTAACGTCTGACCTCTTTGCTTTCTTCTTCTTATTAATATTAACAACTAATTATGAAAATGACACTTATGTTCTGTTTTTGTTTTTCTGTAGTAGCCATCCTAAAGGGTGTGAGGTGGTATCTTATTGTGGTTGTGATTTACATTTCCCTAGTGACTACTGAAGTTGAGTATATTTTCATGTACTTATTGGCCATTTGTATATCTTTTTTATTTATTGTTTTATCCTTACCTGAGGACATTTTTGCATTCGTCTTCAGATAGGGAGAGAGGGAGGAAGAGAGAGAGAGAAACATTGATGTGAGAGAGACACATTGACTGGCTGCCACCCACACGACCCCAACCGAGGCCGGGGACAAACTGCAAATGAGGTACATGCCCTTAGTGGAACTGAAGCTGGATCTCTCTGGACTGTGGGCTGACGCTCTAACTGCTGAGACATATTGGCCAGGGCTGTATATCTTTTTGGAGAAATATCTACTCAAGTCCTTTGCTCATTTTTTTCCTTGAGCTATAGAAGTTCTTTATATTCTGGAAATTAACTCCTTATCAGATATATGATTTGCAAATATTTTCTCCCATTCTGTAGATTCCTTTTTCACTCTGTCAATTGTGTCTTTTGATGGACAGTTTTAAATTTTGATGTAGTCCAGTTTATCCATTTTTTATCGTTTGTCGTCTGTGCTCTTTGTGTCATACCCAAGAAATCATAGCCAAATGCCAAGTCATGAGACTTTCCGCCTATGCTTTTTTTCCTAAGGATTTCATAATTTTAGCTCTTATGTTTAGGTCTTTGATGCATTGAGTTAATTTTTGTATAGGGTGAGAATTGCAATAACTCTGAGCACAAACACTCCATTCAAACCATTGCACAAGGGACCTGACTAAACTTTAACTTGGTTTCTAGCAGCTTAAGGCTTTTGCTATCCTGTCTGGAAAAGCTCAGGGCTGTCAAAGGAATTTTGTTTGTTTTAGCTAACACCTGAAGATAGGCCCCTGACTTCCCTCTCTTGGGGCTTCTACTAAAAAGGACTTAACATTGTAAATGGTTCCTTTGTCCCTTTGAGATGTATCTGTATCTGTATCTCCTACAACTCAGGAGTATCTTTCTCAAGGGCCTGAGAACTACTCCTTTGAAATGTAATCCGCAGGAAGGGTGGGGCTCTGTCTCCCAGTCTGTGGGAGGAAGGACTCCTGACTTTGATAAGCCGGCAAGCAGACACAGCTGGCCTAACACCGCCACACTGACCAACCCTTTGTAAATTGGCACTTTGAGCTCCCCCTGTCCCCGCACCTCTTTGAAACACTGGGTCACCTCTGTGTTAAGCCAAACGGAGCTCAGTTCTTTCCCTTACTGTCAGTAGGTATTGAATAAAATCTGATGTCTGGCTTTGTTTTTCTTTGACAAGGGTCCAACTTCGTGCTGGGCACATACTAGAGTCCAAACAGGGAGATATAAACAGGTCTGGGATTCTTCCTGTGTCTGCTGATGAAACCCTTCTCTCTACATCCCTCCTTAGGCCAGTGTGCCTTTTAGTAGGTTGACAGACGCCCCTGGCGTGTTTATTAGAAATGCATATCCCTGGGCTCCATCTAGGTCTGTTGACTGAACGGTTAGGAGGTGATGCCTGTGAGAATCAGGTGTCAGGGAGATGGCTCTGGTCCCCAGCATGAGTGGGACATTTTCAAGTGGGACCTTGAAGCCCTCCCAGCCAGGGCAGGGCTACAGAGCACGGGTGTGCCTGCCGACCGTGGGAAGTGAACAGGAGGCTCTGAACCTTTCCCTTTCCCCTTGGCCTTGACAAGGACACTATTCACACTGCCCAGTGGAGGCTCGAGGCACGATGATCTCTGGGAAGATGTTCCTTTTGGGAAAAGGATCAGGACGGGTTTGAGAGGGCTCCACAGGGCTCTGGGTTCAGAACCCATAGTATGTAGCTGCCTGCCACTAGTGTACCTCTTGAAAAGGAACGCATGAAGCCACTCATCTTTGTTAGCACAGACTTCTGCAAACTTCAAAGGCCAGTATCTGGACACGGTGAACTTCGGGGGCAGATAATAATAGGGGGTCGGGGGGAGACTACTGTCCCTCAGTATATTTGGGATGCTTTCTGCAAGACCAGTTGCTTTACCAGAGCTGAGCCTGTGACCTACTTATTAGAATCTATTAGGGACTATTTAGAATGGGGGGAAATTCCCCCTTTGATTCCCGTCCTTGAGGTGAGATCATTCCTACTTAGCAGAGAGTGGACAGGCACTGACAAACCACAAAAGACCACTATTTATTTAGCAATACTTAATTCAAGAGCAGCTTTTGAATTAGCAAAAAGGCCAGTGGGGGAGAAAGGGGAAGGGTCAGGTGGGAGGTGCTAAGCAGAACAGGTGTGTAAGAAACGAGGGGCCCAGTCCCCCAGGCTCCTGCGAGCTCGGCCCTTCGGTATGGGGGGGTGTGCGTGTGTGTGCGTGCGGTGGGGGCTGGGGGGTTATTCCTGTAGGTCTCTCCCCAGCATTGCCGGTGTAGACAAGGCATCTTCTCCCCCTCCAGCCCCGCTCTTCCCCAGAAGCCACCACCTGGGGTGTGGCGATGGTCTCCTTGGCAGCCAAGGAGTTGGCCCACAAACCCGAGCTCAGGAGGAATGCATGAGAAAACACGTGACTACAAAACCAACCTCCACCCCAACACGCACACATAACAGAGGTGAGGAAGCACTATAAACGTTTCTTATAAAAGTATTTTTTAATAAATTGATGTATTTCAATGTTGTTAACATGATAGCCCAATGCTATATCAAGGTAGCAAAAGTGAAGATTCCTGGTATTTTTATATAAACACTATGAATGACAGTACGTTTGCATTCAACTTCACGAGATTATCTTCGGTTCATGAGGAGTAACAGCTGTAACACCTTTCGAACAGCGCAGATGTGGTATGAGGACAGACAGGGACGCGCAGTCCAGGACGGAGCCGCCCTCTAACACCACACCGGAGGGTACAATGGCAGCATGCCAGCGTGCTGAACAAAACCCAAGTCTTTTGAACTTAACCACTGAAAGAAAACAGAGCATGTATCAGATCACAGTGTCTTACAGAGACGGAGCCGTAAGACACGGTCAGAACCCTGAAGCAGTGGATGTGCTTCTACCCGTTTCGCGGTGGAAAGCAGCCCTGGGTCTCCGCGCGGAGCCGCCGGCGCGACGCGGCCACTGGCTGGACCCAGCCGCCTGCTCTGTACAAGTGCTGGTGAAGGTGACGCGCTGCTGGGCCAGCGCGGGTCGGCGGGTTCAGGCACCTGGAGGCTACAACCGCCGCGCCCTCCAGGCTCCACAGGCCCCTCCCCAATGCTCGCGTCCCCTTCGTAGGGTTGAAAACACCAGGAGCATTTAAAACAGTAGAACCCAGCAGCTTCTAACCCTCTAACACTAAATTACTGTCCAACCCACCACGACAAATATGCTTCACTTGGTTACAACTACAAAGAAAATAATCTGACTCCATCGTATTGCATGTATCTCAATGTCTGGAGTTTTCCTAACAGAGATCAGGTTGACAGCAAGATTCTTTTCCTCCAAGGGCAAGGAAAGGCTGGTCAAGTGCTAATTAATTAAATCCATTCTAAATTCTGAGCTGTGGAGAAGAAACTGACTTGCACAAGATTTCCCAAAATAAAGATATTTATTTCTCAACCTTGAGTACGATTAGATTGTAATCAATCTCACGTCCAGAATTTTATCTGCTGATTGTTACTATAACTGGCCTTGGGCCATGATGTAGTTCTGAAACTAGGTCCCTTTACACTATTTAAAAACTCAGAGTGCTGCAGATGAGAGTAAATACAACAGAATAACGCTGAAGTCACGTGTGCGCAAGGTGCTGGGTTCTGGACGAGCAGGGACGGGATGACCCCGCTTTTCACCAAGCGGGCTCTAGTGCGTGGCCACTCCTCCACGGGTGTCACAGCGGATTCAAACCACGGATATCTCAGTGAATGAGAAAAACTGTAATCTAGCACATATTAAAAACAGTCCGAAGCAAACTGCATCACATACTCCTCCCTAACCTGGGTTCTGGTGGTAGGACCCGTCTGAGTGAACAAATCCACGGCTCAACTCTTAGTGTTTTCTTCTCGTCTCACATCAGACCTTTCTTCCTCCCGCCGCATCTCAGAACCAGTGCTCTGCCCCGCAGCACTGAGGGCACTCGCAAAGGCTTCCTCTCCGAAACACAACAGTCAAAAGCACAAATTAGGTTAAGTGGCTTCATTTTCCTCAGGTCAACACTTAAAACTCAAGGCTTATTTTCCCTATGAACAGGGTGTGCTTAAGTTGATAAAATGAATCAAAATCAGCTTATGAAAAAGTTAAAAAATGTCCTTTACTGAAAGATGTATCTTTACAGAGAGCAGCAGCACTGACAGTCTAGTCTAGAAGTTCGAGTGAAAGGAGATGACTTGGAAACTAACAACACATATAAAGCTGAAGTCACTGCCTCGGGTAGTTTACACACTGCACCAGTATTTTACGTCGGACATTCATACTTAAGGCAGAAAAATTGAATTTGACATGTAATGACTTGGCTCTTAGATCCAGGGGTCAAACTGGGAGTAGACTTGAGCAGACAGATTCCTTGCTAATGGACTCCTCTGTGGTGACAATTCCATCCTCAGAGCATGTTGTGTGAGAGACAGACATTTCAGAGAACAGAAAAAAATGAATGTTAAGATATACAAGTGTGATTCTTAAACAAGAGGTCAATGGGACGAAACTACTCCCATAACCAACTAACAAACTCAACATACTCTTTCTGATATGGAACATAAAATGTATGAAATATCAAAGAATTACTTTTTGGAGTGTGTTACTTTAGACCAGTTTTCAAGGTCTAGTATAAAAGGCAGCCTGAATAGTTAAAAGCAGTTGAATGTCAACTTATCCTGCTACTCAGAAGGCTACCATTTAGGATATTTCTACCCCATCAACAAAGTCCTGTGCAGGGAGGATGTCAATATGTATTAAAATAAAAATGAAGCCCCACCCCCACCCCCAACACATGTGCAAAACCACTTGTCAGTTACTAGGAAGAAGATCTTTAACAAGAAACATCTTAATTACAGAATCAGAGGCACCAAAACCAGACGGACACAGAAATGTACCACCTGCCGGGTGGATGGTTATTTGGGATGACAGCACCCGCTGGTGGGGCCTCGGGCTCTGCCGCTCAGAAGGGAGGGCGTGGAGGGCTAAGGGACAGGCCGGCCCGCCTCTCCCAGACCAAGGTCCTCCCAGACCAAGGTCCTCCCAGACCAAGGTCCCAAGCCCTCGGGGCTGTGTGTGCTCCTTCGGCCTCTGCAACCTGGTACCAAAATCTTGATGAAAACCCACACACACCTGAAAGACAATTCTTAAGCAGGTGACGAGGACTATAACCGCCTCAGTACCTTTCTGTGTGCCTATTATTATGCCATGGCTCTGGCAACTGTCGGAAGTGTGCAGAGATTACCTGCCTAATGTCTGAAGACACAAGACTTTCTTCTTTCACGGTGGCAGGAGTCCATGCGAGATTTGTAAACAGCGATACAAAATACTGTAAACATAACTTAACAGAGCTTGTATAAAACAGAAGGAGTAAATCTGAATTTACAAGTGGGTAAAAAAACCAGAGGGCAGCTTCACACAAAGTTCTCCCTCCTGCGCCAAGTGATTTGATTACAAATATAATCCTGAGCTGTGAAACTGGGATTTGGGGGAGAGCCATCTTTGCATACAAAATATCCAAAGGACGCTTACTCTTTTACTTTTCGCTAGTGATATTCAACTGCCACAGACAGTTCTGAATGTGTGACTTTGGAGACATTTATAGTTTAGTGTGGCGCCCAGGCCGGGAGCCTGCGGCGGTGCTGGCCATGGCAGCCGACGCGACCGCGTCCTCCGCCTCCTCCAGCTCCTCCTGGAGCTCCTGGCTCACGCTGGACTGCAGGGCTGCAGGGGTGAGCCACTCCTTCGGCAGGCAGCTCTGCAGGAAGGGGATGCAGGAGCTGAAGTAGGCAAGTCGATTGATCCAGCGAGGAATCTCTTTCCCACAAAGAATCTAGAGGAGGAAGAGTGTTGTATTAGGTGAGGGGTTGAAGTGATCCGGTCCACTGCCAAGGAGTGCGGTGGGGTGGGCGGGGGGCTGTTCAGAAGACCACTGCGCACCAGCCTTTGGTGGTGTGACTTCAGGCCTCTGAGAACAAGCAGCTCCCTAACCTGGGAGCCCGGGGTCCCTGCTGTCAGCGCCACCTCTTCCTTTCTGGAAAACCTGGTCCAGTTGTCACCTCTCACATCTGCACAAATGAGCTGACTCCACTGCACTGCTCTGAGGCAGACGTGGAAGGACCTGAACACGCGGAGGACAGGCCTATAACACGTGGTGGTACTGGAGTGACAGGCTCCAAGCAGTAGGAGCAGTCAGTCTCGGGTATTTTCCTCTGCGAACTCTCCTCTGTCAGATTCTTTCTGCTTCCCTCTGGTCCCCAGCGCTCCGCCCCTCCCGGCCTCACCACCCCAGTGCTTCTGCGCTTCCCCGGTTGCCCAGGGACCTCACCCTGGTCCACAGGCATCACCTCCCCGAGGAAGACCCGCTCTGACTCCGCCGAAGTCTCTACTAAGGACAAGAGACAGGCGGGTCAGGAGGAATCCCTCCCAGCTGATCCCTTTTCTTGTTTCCAACAGTGAGAACTGGGTCTTTTCTAGAACTAACTCCACTGTTTCCTGCCCTCTTGCCTTCTGCAGACAACAGTGGGCTTAACTGGTCTGTGTCCCACGGTCCCTTTGATGTTTGCCTCCAGTCATGTCAAAGATTATGATCATGTGATCTAGAAGTACCATCTACATCTTCTTTGTTGATGACTTAGGAAAGGGATTTCAAAATAGCTTATGTTTCAAAATGAGCAAATATGTAAATAAGCCAACACCTGTAATTGAGCAATGTAACTTTTCTCCTTAAAGATTTAGCCTTATGCTAAACAGTTACTGGCCTTATATGATAGCCCTGCCATCTGTCCACTCTAAAAACACAGAAAGGCAAGTATTACCTTACATGTTACACCCCGACATAGTGAGGGACACCTGCAGAGCGGACGGTTAACCACAGAGGTGGTGACTACGAATATGCAGGCTGATGTACCAGGCACCGCTGCCTACTGGCGGGCATTCCTTCTCTCTACCTCCTCAGTCCTGGCTTTAGTCAGGAATTTACCTTCCTCCGCACAGCGCCGTGCTTCCCGGGAAGCTGACTTCGTTTCAACTCCTGGGGCGGTAACTGGATTAGCCTGGAACAGTTGTGAAAACCAGAAGCCCTGTTCTTGCACCCTTATCAATGCACTGGCTAGGTTCCCGAAGGCTCGGAGCCACCTTCCTTCTTCTCTGAAAATCAACCAGTTACCTCTGTGGTGTCAATGCAGCTACAAGACCACAGGTGCTTCTCCAACTTCCCTGTTCCCGGGACACATTTGGGGACCTGTCACAGTGAGGACCTGACTGCACATGTCCGCATGGGGCAGGGATGATGCGCATCTCACAGGCCCCGCCTGGTGCTCAGGCCCTGGAAACACTTGGCAAGCACAGCACAGCCGCTCCAGGCCTCCAGGCCGTTGAAAGCTGCGCCTGAAGCCGTGGGCGGAGGACGGCCAGGTGGCTGAGCACCCTGCGGGGAGGTCAGTGGGGCAGCCGCTCCTTCCCTCCTTCCACCCCGTCATTTCTGTAGCATTTGCTGCCGCCACCGTGTTCAGTGGGACAGCAAGAACACTAGCAAATGTTGTTTATTTGAAGAACTTTCAGGATAACATTTAATTTACCTCTGATAATGCTGAAGAAAAGTGATTGCAGTTTTTGTGCATTAAATGATAGGCATTGCCTTTGTATTCTTTCCCCAGTTCTTCTATGATTTTTTCTACATCATCTTCTAGGAAGTCGGTGCTTCCTAAAACAACAGCTTCTCTTAAAGAAAAGAAAGAGAAAACAGCTGTGTGAGGTTTAGGTATTTATAAAAAGCATGTTTAAAGACTTGCTTATTTCCAGGAGTATCATGACTGACACTGTAGGGTTCTGTAATAAGACTGAAGTAAAACAAGACATTTAAAAAATGTCAATTATTTTAGTTTCTACTTTTCTGCAATAAACTCTTAAGCACTACTTCTGAATAATTCAAATACCAAGGAAGTCATTTTCTTTATAAAACAGTATGCCTTTACATTAAACATGCAACATCACAGTTATTTGTACAACTACTGCATCAGCAGTTACACGATCAGAGGACCACCTCCATGCTGCCAATACTCCTGCTGAATTACACCTGCCCTCAATGCTGGTCATAACCAACTCCCTCACCCAGCTACTACCCTTCAAATGTAATAGACATTATTCAGTAGCATGTAGAATTTTAGTCAGATCAAGTAAGGCATCCAAGAAAGCTGAAAATATTAGAAAACCTTTTATCTAGTAGTCTCACTTAAAGGGAGACCCAAGGAATAGATTCAGGATGGCCTCAAACAGCGCTCCTGGGGGTAAATGTCCCCATCAGTGATAGGCGAAGGGAACCATGGACACAGTAGTGAGACATGTGCAGCCCGATGATGAATCTCAATGCTATCACCTCATTTCACTATTTTTGGCAAGTTAACTATTATAGGCCTAAAAGTTTCTTTGAATCTCCTTGAAACTAAGGTTCTAAACATCTCTTTAAATGCAAACATTGGCATTCAGATTTTCAGTGCTGTTTACTACTCATAAGGCTCCAGAATACACTCATAGGCATACATTTTAGGGTTATCAATACACGTAATACATGTACCTTAAGAATAGTTTTCTAGCTAATCAACTGTTTAATTATTTGAAATTTATAAAGTGTCCCTTTCACTGGGGAAATGAAGAGATTTTTAATACTGTTAGGTATGTTACGATAAAACTTTCCTCCATCTGCTCCCAAACAGGAGATTGAGGGGAAACAGTAATTAGACAGGAACATTTTCTAAAGCAGAACCTGAGTTATACTAAGGTAGAAAAAAGCTTTCAAGTACACAGAACAGCTCATATTGGACCTGAATGAAAAGCGAGTGTCTAGGTTATTTCAGGTACTTAATTTGGCCAACTCCTATCTTTACACAACTACTAAGATACATTTGATTTTAAAATAAAATGTTAGCAACTAAAGCCACATTAAAGAAACATTTTAACGTCCTAGACTTTAACCTACAAAATGAGTTCTGTCTGCCTAAAAACAAGCTTTGGCACCTAAAACAGTGTAATAAAAATTAGCCTCCCTACTTACTTAAATTTAAATGTTTCTCCTAGTTCTGAAGCATTTCCTGGGGAAATCTCAAATATTCCAGAAAAAGGGTAAGGATGGCCACCATAAGCAAATTCTGAAAAGAGAAAACTCATGATGTTTAGTATGTATCACACAAAACATAACCAGAATGCTTAATTAGCCTGAATAAGTGACAAAGCTAATAACGATACCATCTAAATACAGTTTACTAACGCTTTCACAAACAGCTCATTTAGCTATTATTGTACAGAACAGTTTACGCAAAAGGCCTACAATCCCAGTGAAAGACACTCAAAGGCAATGCTGACTCTTTTTACTGGCAAGAGGAGAGTGACTAACACTCAGATGTAAAATAGTTTCTCTGCTGCCCTATCCTGCTAAACTAGGTGGTCAGTCCGGTGTTTGGCAATTTTCTAAACTGATCAAAATTCAAAATTGCACTTTACTGAAAAATCTGTCCAATAACAAAAAATTTTCATGGTTCCTGGGCTGAAGACTCTTGGTTTATCTTTGAAAACATTAACAAACCTGAATTCAAGTCCCCCATTCAAGAGAAAATAACTGCCAAATTAATATATACACCCACAGACACCTGCTCTGCACAGCACTGCCTTCAGCAGGAGGTCAGCCGCCTGTACTACAGCCGCCTGTCCATCTGGGCTCAGCAGATACCAAACTCCTCCAGACGGGAATGGAGAACGGTTTTGAATGAGGAAGGAACTCAGGTTTACGTCTACCATCCTGATGTGAGATACTTAGATAGGTGGCAAATCTTAGTGGGCTTATTTAAAGAATTTCAAACAAATGTTTAATCTCATCACTTAAAGTTTATTAAATACAACCTTAAAAGGTCATAGAACTAAGCATGGAAAGAACGAGCAGATACTACTAAGTTTACTTTTGATTCAGACCTTTTAAAAAAAAAGCAATGATGCTGATAACAAAAACGTGTTTAATATTCAATTTTGTAACATACATTAAAACATTTTTAATGATAGAATTTTATAAAATGTAGGTAATCAGATTGAACAAGAAAAGACTGTATCTAGATTTTTTATTATTTTTTTCTTCTACTGATTTTATTTTATTTTATTTTTTTTAATCCTCATCCGAGGACATTTTTTCCATTTTTTGTACAGACAGAGTGGGAGGGAGAGAGAGGAAGAGAGAGAGAGGGAAACATCGATGTGAAAGGGACACATCGAGTGGCTGCCACCCGCACCACCAACCAGGGCCGGGGACAAACTGCAACCGAGGTACATGCCCTTAGCAGGAACCGAACCCGGGCCTCTCCGGACCGCAGGCGGACGCTCTAACCGCTGAGCCAAACCGGCCAGGGCTCTTCTACTGATTTTAGAGAGAGAGGAAGTAAGAGGGAGAGAGAGAGAGACAGAAACATCGATGAGAGAGAACATCGATTGGCCACCTCCTGCATGCTCCCCACTGGGGATTTGGCCCACAACCTGGGCATGTGCCCTGACCGGGAACCATATTGGTGACCTCTTGGTGCATGGGTTGACACAACCACTGAGCCACACCGGCTGGGCTATATTTAGATTTTGAACTTTCTCAATAACCGTAAGAAAAGTCACAAAGCCATTTATTTTTCTATTTAAGAAGCATTCATTCAGCCCTGGCCAGTGTGGCTCAGTTGGCTGGAGCATTGTCCTGTGCACCAAAAAGTCACCAGTTCAATTCCTGGTCAGGGCACATACACAGGTTGCAGGTTCAATCCGCAGTCAGGGCACATTCAGGAGGCAACCCAATCGATTTTTGTTTTTCCCTCTCCCCCTGCCCCCTCAAATCAATAAAAAACAAAACAAACAAAAACTATTTTAAAAAAAGCATTCATTTTCAGGAATATACAGGGTGGGACAAAAGTAGGTTTACAGTTGTGAGTACGTGAAACACAGTTTATCCTTGTATTATTATTTACTAATTATTGTATTCTTCTCCATACAAACTGCAAACCTACTTTTGCCCACCCTGCATTTGCCCTGGCTTTGCTAAGCTTATACGGACATGTTTTGAATCATGTTTCTAATTATTCCTGTCATTTTATGGAAGGGAGCAATGGTGAGCAGATAAAAGAGCAATGAGTTAGTATGTAAGAACACTTGGGTTCAACTCCTAATTCTCTTCACTATTAGCAGGATGACATTCAGCAGGTATGAGCTTTGGTTTCTTCATCTGAAAAGTGTAGAAAATGCCACGTGCTCGTATTTACCTCCCAAGAGCACAATCATGTGGTTCAAAATGTGCTGGCATTTTACATCTTTAAGACACCGCACACATTCAGCTGAAAAGGAACACAACTTTGCCAAACCCAAGTCAAAGCAGGGAGCAAGCCCCACCCCACCACCCCACCCCTGCAATACGCCAACCTCTGACACTTTCAGCAGGGGCCTCCCTGCTGTTTGGGGAGTACTGGGTAGATGCAGCCTTTCCAGTAAATGGAGCTTCAACAGCAGATCTTTCCAGCCCACATTGAATACGCTGCTCCACACCTGGAAGCAGCTACCGATGTGCAATACAGAAGGAACGTTGCAAACACCACACTGACACTTGAAGTAAACAAGCCTTTTCTCTGTAAAGCTAAGGCTGGTGTGCAGTCTTCAGGGGTAACTGAGTACATGGCAGTAATGTATTCTAGGAGGTCATAAAGCCTGCTTAGCTGAAGCAAAGGCATTTCTGCTATAGGGTGAGTTTATGATTCAAACAAATATAGTATTACAACCCTGATGAAACTGGCAATGTGATATGTCTGACGGATAACATTACTGCTTACAACTTGATCAGGAGTAAATTCTCTTCAATGAGAGGGAATTAGCACAAAGGGAAAACTGCTGAAGGCAGCTGCTAGGTGTGGGTGCTCCCTCCTGCTCATCCTGACACAGGGCATCAAGCAGTACAAAGAGCTGGGTTAATCAATGACAGAGGCCACCGTTCTCCAGCAACAAAACTAGATGGAATCAAAGGAGGGTTTGCTCAGTGTTATTTTTAAGCTTTATAACTATACACTTGTAGGTCTACCAAAACAAACTACTGAAATTCTCTCAGGAAATTGGTATTTCAAGTTTGACACTCTCTAGACCCAACCCTTCTCCAACCAAAATGATTGTTTTTATCATACTGTTTTTCAAAGTGCAAGTTTCTTAGAAACTCCTATATATATATGTTAGAGCAAAATTGTAATGGTATAACAATCTCAAAAGAAAAATGTTTTTTCAGACACAGTATTTAGGATAAAAGCTAGCTCAACGAATGTACATTCCTGTACTTGGGCACATTCTCCCCCATAACATTCAACTTTGGGCATTTATTGAAAATAAGCTATAAGTACATATGGGGAAATGGCCTTCTACTTTTCAGAAAGTGTATTGAGACACTGTGTACACATACCTCTGCCATATACTTCAATTCCTGAATGAAACACTCCAATTCCGATGGATGAGGTGTACTCGTTCATCCAGTACTAAGGAAAAAAAAAAAGATTCAGAACTTCTGTTCACTTATGACTCAACTCCACATTGCGGGAAGCTACTGCTCTCCATGCTACTTCTACTGGCTGGTGTTTCTCCGTACAGCTCCGAAACTCCCCGGTAACAACCCTGCAGTCCTATCTCTGGGCCTTTGCTTGGGCCACATCCCATGCAGGATTCCTTCCTGGATCCAAGTGAATGTCTCCATTTGCATACAAGCACATTATCTAAGGCTTAAAGCATAAAATCTAACCCTGGCCAAGTTGGAAAAAAAAAATAGACATAAAAGTTCTGTTAGTGACTTAAAAAATTCACCTAACATGCTTTCATATCTATCTTTCTTCTATCTTAAGCTTTCCCTTTCATTCTCTGGTGAGCTCCCTGAAGACAGGGACATTATATTCTTTATAAAAAAATGTTTGAAAAAGACATAATGGCATCGATGTCCTGATTCAGCTCAAAGTTTGATAATACAGGAACAAATAATACAAGGCACAAAGGTTGGACCAATCTTCTTATCACCGGCATGAAAAAGAGAACTTCCCAGAAGAGGTAATATCTAAACAGGGTTTTTAAGGAACAAGATTTCCCCAGACAGAACATTTTGGGGGTGGTGTGGGGTGAGGGGAACGGGAAGCAACGCCAGAAGAGGGAAGAAGTACACAGGCATGTAGGTGAACTTATTGGATGACTGAAAGGGATCACACAGGCAGACTGCAAAGGGTGACACCTGGAAGAGTCGACTTAAAAGCTCATTAATCCAACACCTGGGGAACATTTAACAGTGTTACAAACCTATCAGATTTCTCCCAGGTCAGAAGATAATTTGTCTTTAATTTTTCTAGGCTTATTCAAGTTTTAACATTGGCTCCATACCCCTCGTCAGTTTTCTCCCAGACCTAGGAAAATGCACATTTTCATACATTGTTGGGAAAACATAAGTAGATAAAGTTGACCACCCCCCCCACCAATATATACCTAGAAGAAAAATTAAGCAATAATAGACAAAAAGTATTTGAAAAAGAACAAGGACTTTCTCATCTAGATATCAAAATATTCATTAAAACAGTATGGTACTGTCACAGGAACAGAGCCTTGTATATACAAGAATCTGGTTATAATAATGACAAAACTGATTATGCATAAAAATACACATATCTAAAAATTCTAGTGTGTCCAAAAATAATCACAGAAAAACTTAGACGGGAAGAGTCAATTTGAGTAAGGCAAAACCTAGAATTTTAGAGGAAAACAACAGATCTTCAACATAAATATTTACAACTTTTTGTGTAAAGCCATATAAAAAGATCAAAAGATAAACATGAAGAAAAAAATTGTAACACATATAGCAAAGATTAGTATGAGAATACTATCTCCTCCATCTCATTCTTTTTCTTCTTCTTTTTCTTTACTGATGTTAGAGAGGAAGGGAGAGAAAGAGAGATAGAAACATCGATGAGGGAGAACATCAACCGGCCGCTTCCTGCATGCCCTCCATTGGGGATTGGGCCCATAACCTAGACATGAGCCCTGACCAGGAATTGAACTGGCAGTCTCTTGGTATATGGGTCGATGTTCAACCACTGAGCCACACGGGCTAGGCTTTTAAAATGTTTATAAACTAATTTTTAGAGAGAGAGAATCACTGACAAAAGAGCTAAACATCAGCTGCCTCCTGCACGCCCCCCACCAGGGATCAAGCCCACAACCAGGGTATGTGCCTGGCCGGGAACCGAACCAGCAACCCTTCGATGCACAGGACGATGCCCAACCGAGCCACACTGGCCAGGGCTCCATCTCATTCTCTTTGGCTCCTGCATTTGAGCAGCCTGAATTTGGATGGCAAATTAAGAAAGTAAGGGATACTTTTTTATCTGAATCAATTTGTGCGTGGGGAGTAGTGAGGGTACATTATAGCAAGGGATTTCTCAAAACATTTATCTAAATCTATTAATTACAGACTTTGGGCAATAAACGTTCAGACAACAAGAAACATTATATCCTAAAGCTCCATTAAAAGCAAAACGAAACAGCCCTGGCCGGTTTGGCTCAGCGGTTAGAGTGTCGGCCTGTGGTCCTGAGAGACCAGGATTCAGTTCTTGGCATGTGCCTGGGTTGTAGTTTGTCCCCAGCCCTGGTTGGCGACCACTCAATGTGTCCCTTTCATGTCGATGTTTCTCTCTCTCTCTCTCTTTCTCTCTCTCCCCCCTTCTCTCCTTCCCTCCCTCCCTTCCACTCTATCTGAACAAAATATTGAGAGGAAAAAAAAAAGCAAAACGAAACAAAAAAAACCAACCCCACAGACAACTGAGCAATTATAGAAGGAAAGAGAAGCCAACAAACATGGACTAACAATCTCACTAGTGAACAGAAAAACAGTAATTGCAACAACAAGCTACGTTCTTTTTTTACACATCAGACAGCAAATACAAAATATATTGCTATTACTTGGTAAGAATGTGAAGGAGATACTGCAGAAGAACTAGCTTCTCAATGACAGCTAATCAACCACTCCATCTCTTGGAATCTATTCTACAGAAATACCTAAGCATACGCAAAGACATATTCCAGGTTATTAACTGCCATTGTCATAATAGTGAAAAAAATTATGGTGAATCTGTGTTATGAACTATCATACAACTACTACAAAGAATGAGGTAACTCAATACATATGGACATAAAAAAGTATCTAAGACACACAAAGTAGAAACCCCATTCATAATACATTATAGCATGATCATACTTTTATAAAATAAACATGTCACATGTATATGAAAAAATAAAGCAAAACCACCATTAACTATAACAAAAGAAAGTATGAAGCAGACAGAACAAACTGTTAACAGTTTGGGGAAGGGGAGCAGATATCGGGTGTGTGTGTGTGTGGGGGGGAGTATAAAGGGATACTTCCACTTTTAACTCCATATTTCCAGACTGTTTCTCTGAATTTTATGAAGAATGTGTATTACTATTTTTATTTTAAAAAATGTTATCTTAAAGTAAAATACTATACTCTTTTAGCTTGACAGGTTTTATTTGAATCTTTATACTATCATAAGGGAATAGGCTGTGTGTGTGTATATATATAAATACACACACACACACACACACACACACACACACACACACAAATTACAAGCAGCAGCATCACTTGTATCAGCAAAATACTGATAACAACTTCAATGTGACTTTCCAGGGTACTGGCTGAATAAACTATGACATATTCACAAAATATCTGGAATATGATGCAGCCATAAGAAGAAGGGGATGCTTTCAGGACGGACAGGAAGTCATTCCAGGACGTATTTGTTAGGGAGCAAGAGCAGAAGAAGGATGGAGACACAGCAAAATTACTGAGAAACTGGTTTGAAGGTGCTTCCATGGGAAAAACAGGACTTATGAAGAGAATACTGACAATAATGGACTACCACATACTGAAGAAAAAGCATCTGAGCCCATAGCAATACAAAAGAGAAAGGAGGGAAATCTCTCCTTTACAGAGTAACTGTAGATGTGAAAGCAGAATTAGGTAAGCGGCATTTTGCGGCCCCAGCCGATACAAGGATCATGAGTGCTAAAACCACTGGGAGAAGGCTGGTGAGGAACAATGTTCACATAGTCTGAAAGTACCAACCCTGCATTTTCCTAAATTGTAAGGAAAAAAGATACCTTTGCAATGGAAAAATATGGTGACTATCATCTTATCCAAGTGATTAAACTGAGTATTGTCAATAGTTGGACAGACTGATGTTAGGTGCATCCTGATGTGACAAGACAGAAAGGCCACAACATTTCCTGTCAATTTTCTTGCCAAATGTTAATGAGAACATAACCATAAGGAAAAATCAGCTAAGTCTGGACAGTGGGACATTCAATAAGAAAAATGGCCTGGTCTTTAAAAAAAAAAAAAAAAAAATGACATGAAAATTTAAAAAGGGCAGCTATTCTTTTTGTTGTTGTTAATCCTGCACATCCCCTACCTGGGCCCTGACCAGGAATCAAACCAGCAACCTTTCGGTGCACGAGACGATGCCCAGCCAATTGAGCCACACCGGCCAGAGCAGTCTGCCGTACCTTCCATGTGAGTGTGGAACTGGGGAGGGCAAGGGAAAGCAGACACGGTTTTTACTGGTGAATCTAGGGAAACGCATACAGATTGTACTCTTCTTACAACTTCTTTTTGAAGGTTTAAACTTTTCAAAATAAAAGTTAGGGGAACTAAGGAGAATGATCTAGTCCTTGCCTCCTTTCACCAGAAGTGATGCCTTTCCCAGTTTCTTGCTATCCTCCTCCTTTCTCCCTCTTTTCAGAGAACAGAAAAGACAAGGTGATCCTGTTGGTCCCCATAAACATTCTGCCGGTCTTTTCCCAGTAAGTGGTGTCCTTGGCAGTCAGATTCTAGGACTTAAATTGCCCTTTCCATGAGACATTCCATTGTTTGGAGTGTTTGCAACCAATAATTTGGCATGTACGCTGCCGATTTCCTGAACAGCGGCACCAGCAGGCTTCTGTTGTTGTTCTGGATGCTGACAGCTCTATTTTAGAGACCTTTTTTCTTTTTACACATGAGCTTCTCTTTAAAAAGACAGAATATTTTCCAAAAGGATATATACATAATAGTTTGTCTACAATAAAACACTGTCTACAATGTTTTAAATTATTAGTAAATTGAACATTTATTTCCATTTAATGTCTCATATCACTTAATTTTAACAATTCATCTTTTAGTTGAGTAGTAAATAGCCTTCCCACAGTGCTTTTATAATAAGTGTCTATAATGGAAATCTAAGTGTTTTATTAAGAGACAAAGGTTTTCATGAAAAAGAAAAATTATACACAAAGAATGACTTTTGGCCAAAGGGTACAAACAGTGTTAGGACAGGAAAGCACTTGTCAGAGTGGGGATCCTGAACTCAGAAATCTTTTATTCTCTGCACTTTCACAAATGAAAATAATCTCTTCCATGCTTAGAACTCCTCCTGCATGTTGCCTG